TTCAAATTCCTTACTTCCTTCCACTTGGACCGAACTATGTCCTAACTTGAACAAACGAATGTTTAGCAACAACATTTTTTGACCAAATGTCTGTTTTGGGGTTTTTACACCCATGAAAGGATGGTCTGCAAAATACTTTGCCGGTCTTACATTATTTTGGACTAGAACAATTTCAAATCAAAAACCGTGATCGGTATCAGTACAAGTAGTAAATATTTATACTATTTAGTACCGGTGGCAACATGTGTGTGTGTTTTTATTTATCTCGTGGCCACGGGATATAACTATGTGGCCCGGAAGTTTACTAATCGTGGCAACGAGATAGCTAAGTCGTGGCCTCGAGATATTATGTCCGTGGCCACGAGTTACTAAGTCGTGGCCACGAGATAGCTAAGACGTGGCTACGAGTAAACATATGTCGTGGCCCACGAGGTAACAAGTCGTGGCCACGAGATAGCTAAGTCCTGGCCACGGAGATAGCTAAGTCGTGGCCACGAGATACTATGCCCGTGGCCCGAGTTACTAGAGTCGTTGCCCACGAGATTACTATGTCGTTTGGCCACTATGTCGTTAGCTAAGTCCCGTGCCCACGAGATAATTAAACCAATCAGAATACGCTATATATATATTATGATTTTTTTTAATTAACAACTTACTTTTACATGCAACATTAATCTTTGAAAATACTGAAGATATTCACTTTGAACTTGTCTGATGGACCTTGGAAGGTGATTTTCTAATATGATCCTAAAGACAAGTTCAAAGTGAATATCTTCAGTATTTTCAAAGATTAATGTTGCATGTAACAGAAGTTGTTAAGTTTAAAAAAATTCATAATATCTATATATAGTGTATTCTGATTGGTTAATTATCTCGTGGCCACGACTTAGCTATTTTCATGGCCATGAACTTTTATAGTAACTCGTGTCACGACATAGTAATCTCGTGGCCACGAGATAAATAAAAATACACACATGTCACCTTTGTGCCACCGTAGATAACCGTTTTGAAAAATTAAATTATTGACAGCAAAAACGTTTACTCCGTCCGTATCAATTTCAAAGTGTCTCACTGTAGAAACATATTTAAAGTTTATTATATTAATGTTGCACGGGAAAAGTAAAGATTATAGTATTGCCTAATTAATTAATCAACACTATTAACAGTGTTGGAAAAAGTTGACTTGATAGGGAAAACATAAAAATGAGTTATAACGCGCAAGATATTGAGAAATACTGCAATTTCATTAGAAAATAAAGTGCATGCGACGTAAAATGTTCAACACTTAAATATTTAAATGCCTGTGATTTCTTTCCCAAAAAATGCCTTTGTACCAAGAAATAACCCTTAAAGATCCTGTATTTTTTGTTAATTAAGGTTGTTACCATGTATTGTATGTATGTATGTTTATTCTAGGGCTTAATGAGGGTCCATTCGCCCTTTCAGGACCCCCGACATGTCACAATTCATGTCCTTAAATTTGTTACTATTTCAACCAAAAGGTGACCTATAAATTTTGAATTCAGTAATTCACTGAATGATACTAAATATGTATGCAATCGATTTTTATGATGATACAATTTTGATGATGCACGGCAAGCCAATGAGACCATTATATGCATCATGGAGAAAAATAAATGATGAGTTTGACTGACCTATAAGATTATGCAACTCGGACTAATACCTGACACATTTTGTCCGTATGCATGACCGACAGGCACAAGCATTCTTTCCAGGTTTTAACAGGCGAATTTGGAATGAAATTTTAGCCAAACATAAGTTTCTTTTTATTTTTTTTTATAATAATGATAATGAGAATATCCCAAAACTGGTGAAATATTAAAAACATATAAACACATAGTATGATTCAGCAAATGATATAGAACAGATCATTTTAAAAAAAAATTGCCTTTTTATTGAGGGTAGCTTTAGTCAAAGGGGGTCTTGACTCCATCTATATCATTTTTCGCAGACAATATGAAGTTGACTCATATGACTATATTTGTTGAGTTGGTGGCCAGGTATCGTTCATATTCTTAGGAATATGTATCATATGGGGTTGCGATGTGTATTATTTTGTGGCTTGTCCAACTTTTTGTAAAGTTGGCTCATATGGGACCTGTAGGGCTTTATATGAATTGGTCTGTATGCATACTTAAGTGCCTTAAAGTGTCCAACCTCATAGTATCCGTTAGATTCTGCTTTCAAAATTAAAAGTAAACTTCAAATTACAAAAAAAGCATGTTATTTTGGATTGTAAATGTTTTCATCCCAAGTGATAAACTAGACTGACATAGTATCATGCTATAAGGTTGTTACCACACTTAAGTGAAATTTTATATATGTGTATAAATATGTTTCTAAACAAATTTCAAACATCGAAGAATATGTAAAATATGAAGTGCAAATATTTGTCCACATTATATGTAATCATTATAATATATGCATTCATTTCTTATTGAAAATTGAAAAAATTGACTTAGACTTTATAGAAAATAAAAATTTTATTACCTCCCTTTATTTACCTGAAATGTATAATTCGGTAATATCTTTATAAATAATGCTTTTTGGAACTTAAAATATTGATAAATCTTAATTTGAGCATCATATTTATGATATAAAACCATAGAAAAAATTTGTGTTACAGGATATTTAAACAATATCATGCAGTAAGTCTTCTATTTGAAAAATACGATAATATTATACTCACTGTTGAGGAAGGACGTGTTATCTGATCAAATTTTCACAATAAAATTAAAATTACACTACGTTCAGAATTATAACGTTTTTTTTTTTTTGTTTTTTTTTGTTCAATCGTTGAAACTGATTAAGAGGATTGTGAATGCTTACAACATAATTGAGCCGCGCCATGACAAAACCCACATAGTGCGTTTGCGACCAGCATGGATCCAGACCAGACCGCGCAAACAAGATCCATGCTGTTCGCAAACACACTGTTGGTTTGTCATGGCGCGGCTCATTTGTACTTAGAAAGCTGTCTTAAATATTCAACGATACAAAATGGCAAACTATGATCCAACTAAGATCTTCCTCACTTACAATCTAGTTCTCTAAAAAAGTAGATATCCATATCCTACATTCATCAAGAATCAAAACTATAGAAACAGAAGTTTTAAGTGCCTTATAAAAAACTCGATATATATAATCATATAGATGTCTTGTTCAATTAAAAAGTTCAAGTTATTCTTTTAGGTATTAAAAAAGTGTAGATATACCAAGGTTCAGGGAGGTTTGAGGGAGCGCAGATCTGGACCTGCCTCCTTCAGGCCTCGTCGTTTTCACTGCGTTTGCACGGCGTTTATTTCATTTAATCCAACAATATGTCGTATACTGTACATTTAATTGTCATCTTTTAATTTTAATTACATTTAAGCTTTTAGCCCCCCCCCCCCGCGCCCCTACAATAAACTTATGCTGTACATGCCACTGAAATTTGTTTTAACTGTCATCTTATTGCATATTTTTCTTATAAATTTACAACTTTAAAGCAACCTTCCTCTTTTTTTTTTTCAATTATGTGTTGTTTGGGGGGGGGGGGGGGGGGCTGTTACACGAAGGATGGAGTTCTTATGATAACTTGTCAGGAGTTCTTATGATATTTGTCACGAGTTCTTGGAAAACGTTACAGATTTCGTAAGAAACTTTATTACATATACTGGGAGAACACACGTAAAAATGTTAATTTTAAACTTTAATAAAATGGGGAGTTTGAGTTGGGTGATTAAGCTTGCCTTATATATATATTGTATTATGTGTCAGAAAAAAACTTTATAGTCCATTTTTTGTCGCCTCTTGTTTAAAACCTGGTAGTTTTGAGTAAAATTTCCAAATAACTTTAACTCATTCGTACATATTGACATGTCGGGTCGGGGAAGTCGTCCGCTAAGCTCAGTAGACTTACTCTGGAATTAAGAATATTTGGGGTTTTCCAGCTAATCTGTAGGTACAAACTTTTTACAGTTACATCTTCGAAAAAAAGCGAAACAGGTTGACTTATGTATTGTGGCGGGTAGTGCAACGTAAAGCTATAAAGGTAAAAGTTAGTTTACAAGTTGTACCGGGGAAAAACCCACATTTGCAGAGTTCCAGAAAACGTCTATATAGGTGTAAATCGCGCTACCCGGGTTCAATTCCCGGATAGTGCAGGTCACTTTCACCATAAAATCTTTTCTACGATCTTTTGCATTGTACCTCAATCTGCTCTAGCATGTTCAGAAGTTTCAGTTCCTTGTGAAAGTGGAGGTAACAGAACGTTCTATATATTATAGTACTGGTAAACTGCCCAGGAACGATGTGGTGGCTAAACTGTGCTCGGGTAAATTCATTGTGACTTACTGTCGTGATCCGGAGTGAAATCTACCAACACCACCATCACCAACGGATCAGGTCTTAAAACAGGCCTATAAATGACAAAGTTGTCAGGAACCGAAGTTAAGTCACCTTTCGTGTAGGCAGTTATCTTATTCAGGCTTATCAGATTGCCTTTTTAATTAGCCTCGTTCTAGTTCATTTGTGCCGAACATGTAGGGTTTATCAAGAAAGCAGTTTAAAGTTCTACAGTTAAAGGTGGTTTAGTGGTTACTTTAGATATAACAGTATTAACAGAAAACATTTGCAATTATAAAAACAACGGTAGTAAAATATCGTAATAAAACTGGCTTAGAATAAATCCCTACACGAGCAGTTGGTCGGCCGCTGCACGCGTTCGGCACATTTGCCATGCCAATAATGGTCAAATTTAATTTTCATAAAATAATCACCCCTCGATCATCAAGAACAAAATTACTATCCAAAATGAAATATATACTTTGATCTTATATAGTAAACGAGTGCTTGATAGTAATTTTGTTCTTGATGGTCAGGGGGTAAGCATTCACGGTCATCTTTGAAAATAGCAGTACAGTATCCTATACAGTGATTGATTACGCGCACCTGCTAAAGTAGCAAGTACCGAATAACGGCTTGTGTATTGAGCAATTGTGAGACCCCTCTCATTGAAATTGAGTTTATATCGGCTATATAAGCCATTGTGGACGCATTTTGAGTTGGCTTCGCTGAAGTCCACATCGCGAGAAAAGGGGAAGCCCACGCTGATTTTTTAGCATAGTTATACGGAAATGACTACCCCAAATTATGCCGTAAGTTTATGTAACATTTATTTGTGCTCTTGAACAAGAACGCGTTATTTTTTACAAAAATATGGAAACAGTTTTTTTCTCGTCAAGGTGCGTGAGGAAGCCATCTTGCCTGTCAATTGCTTTACTAATTGAAAGCAATTGATTGAGCTAGATACGTTATGGTTATCATAATCATTCCACTTATGATATCAATATGGCACTTAGGATATTTTTATGGGTTAAAAAAATATGACTGAATTATGTATCGACATAAAATTATTGAATAACACGGTTTGGATAAAGTTCATCCTGCCTAATTTATTTTTTATATTTTAGAAATTAAAAATTGGACAATATTTCAACGGTGGCAGATGAATTGTCATGTCTTAAGTTTTCTTGTAGCGTTAACAAGTTGTTTCATCAGTTGTTAGTAGATATTTAATTAACAATAAACAAACAAAAAAATGAAAAAAAAAGTCATAAAGAAAGAAAAGAAAAAGATTTGCATGAAGATAGCACATTTTGAATGTGACTACGTATATGTTGTGCTGTATGCATGCTTGACTTTGTCAAAAAAAACTTTACAGGTTGGTATAATGCATTTTGTTACTGACATACTACCTCTACCCAGGAAATTCGGGGGACTTGTGACTTTCAGATTATAATGAACTTTTTGTAAAGTCCTGTCCAATAGTTATTGTCACTGCACTTTAAGTTTAAAAAGTCCCTGTGATGGCACTTTGATGTTCACCGCAGAGTCTGCAGAAAGTGGGATTTTTGACACTATGACGTATACTTGTCCCAGGGTTTGGGAAAATGGGGGGTACCCAGTTGGGGTGAGGGGTAGGGGATAATTCCAGTTGACCTGTGCATACTCCTATCACACTTTAAAGCTTTGAAATAAAATCTAGATTTATCAGTCTAAAGGTGAATTTTTAGGAAGGGACAGTAAACCATATAATTTATCAAAAATGTCTCTTTTCAAGTCACAGTCACTGGCATGGCTTTTGACTGAATCATCAGAAGAAATGAATGTGTGATAGTTTCACTTGAAACTTTATTCATGTATTCTTTCAACCTTTGTCATTTTCCAAGACCAATTAACTTTTTCAGAGTCAGGCAAGGGCTTATAGGTAGGGGAATTGGAAAATGTCAACAGAAAAACCCTCTTAATTGGAAGTACTACATATTTCATTTTGCAAAAATCAATTTTCAATATGATGTTAATAATTTTGTGTTATACGTAATAATCCTAATAAACGCCCCCTCCCCTAATAAAGCCCCCCCCCCCCCAGGTCTTTTGATAATGAAAATAATCTACTCATCAGTGCTGAACTCATAATTAAATATATAATATTATACAAATCATTCAGAACCCATTTTAATTTATAGTAAACACAAATATCAGTCATTCCGAAAGACCATCGGACCGTCGGCCCTGACCGGTAAAAAATCAGAAGGTCCGATAAAAATATATGTATTGACGGCCCGACGTTCCGGTAAAAACTTAAGGTTTTGTAAAAACCTTACATTCAACATTTTGCAAAGGCCGACTTTAATCCGCAGGCTTAGAGTAATGCTCAATTACACATGTGCTCAACTGGTGTTTAGCAGCGAATTAGGGATATGTAAGATCGTCCAAGATGTTGACAAAAATTAAAATGTACTGTACGTGAAGGTACCAAAATCATTGAACAAATAATCTGTCAACTTCACTAAATTACCGATATATTATTCTGTTTACATATGCCAGACTTTTGCTGAAATTTACCCTCTCATTTTGCTAGTATATAGTCTGTATGGAATTAAAGTTTAAATAGCAAAATCCATTGAATACATGTATAACAATATTTATGTTTACATTTTGATTATGGTGAAAAAAGATAACTTCACTTCGTTGATAATATAATTTTCTTTTTGTACACAAATTTTTTGACTGTTGACACTTATTAAGTGACTCAAAATGCTATACCAATCAGGTTTTTTTTTGTCCAGTAAAATCATGTTTGGTCCAGTAAAAATTTTCAGTTTACAGGACCTACTGTCCAGTAAAACTCAGAAGTCTTTCGCATAGACTGAAATATGTATAATATGAACTAAAAAACCTTTATACTTTTTAATGTAATTGTCAACACTTGCTAACACTAAATGTTTTTACAGTGATTTTTTGATTTAGGAAAAATGTATTTTAATAATAGCCCCCCTTTTGGAAAATGTTTAGCCCCCGGGGGCGTTTAGATAAGAATTTTACTGTAGGTTGGTAAAATTAAAAAAAAAACAAAAAACAAGAGCTCCACTAGGCGGAACATTATATGCCCGAAAAGTGTTTTTATGCCACCGCAGCATCTGCGATGCGGTGGCATATAGCGATTCACCTGTGTGTGTGTTTGTTATGCCACCCAAAAGGCCTAGAGCTTATTTATTTTGCATAAGGCATTGTCTGGTAGACCTCTACCAATATTAGTCAAATTATAACCCTGGGGTAAAAATCGGCCCCGCCCTGGGGGTCATTGATTTTCACTATATGTACATATAGTAAAAACTTAAAATAACTTCTTGTAAAGACCCAAAAGGCCTAGAGCTTAGATATTTTGCATAAGGCATTGTCTGATAGACCCTTACCAAGATTGTTCAAATTATAGCCCTGGGGTCAAAATTGGCCCCGCCCCGGGGGTCATTGATTTTCACTATATGTACATATAGTAAAAACTTAAAATACCTTCTTGTAAAGACCCAAAAGGCCTAGAGCTTAGATATTTTGCATAAGGTATTGTCTGGTAGACCTCTACTCAGATTGTTCAAATTATAGCCCTGGGGTCAAAATCGGCCCTACCCCGGGGGTCATATTTTTTTCCTTATATGTATATAGTAAAGACTTTATAGTAAAAAATTTCTTCTAGCAAATGCTAGAGATTAGATATTTTGCATGAAACATTGTGAAGTGAACTTCTAGCAAGATCGTTCAAATTATAGCCCTGGGGTCAAAATTGCCCCTGCCCCGGGGTCATTGATTTTCAATATATACATAATTATAGTAAAAAATAAAAAAATCTTATTGTCTGAAGGTACAAGGCTTAGAACTTGAATATTTGTTAAATGATATCATATATAGGTACTCTACCAAAGTTGTTCAAATTTTGCCTCTTGTGTCAAAATTAGCGCCGCCACATGGGCCATAGGTTTTCCTTATAATATAGTAAAAACTTAAAAAATCATCTTCTCTAAATTTACAAAGGCTAAAGTTAAGATATTTTGCATGAAACATTATGTAGTGAACCTCTAGCAAGATTGTACACATTAAAGCCCTGGGGTCAAAATTGGCCCCACCCCCAGGAGTCATTGATTTTCACTATGTACATATAGTAAAAAAAAAGAAATGTTTTTGTCTGAAGGTACAAGGCATAGAGCTTTGATGTTTGCTCTATAATATATTGAATGGGTTCTCTACCAAAGTTGTTTTAATTTTGCCCCTAGTGTTAAAATTGGCCCTGCCCAGGGGCAGTGATTCTCATTATGTTCACATAGTAAAAACAGAAAATAAAACAAATCTTTTCTGAATAGGAGAAAGCTACAGCTTAGATATATGACTTGAAATGTTGTTTGGTGGACCTGTATCAAGATTGTTTTGAATTAAACCCTTGGGTCCAAAATTTTGCCTTGCCCAAGGGGACAGTGACCTACTTTCTTGTCCTTTGATGTACAGCAATGAAATTTTGACCATGTGCACAGTTTTAGTTGTAAAATTGAATTTTGATATCAGGTGAACTAGATTTTGATGATGTGACCTACTTTCTTGTCCTTTGATGTACAGCTATGAAATTTGAACCATTATGAAATTTGAACCATGTGTACAGATTAAGATGTTAAGTGAACTTTGATTTCAGCTGACCTAGATTTTGACAAAGTGTCTTACTATGTTGTCCTTTGATGTAGTCATGAAATTTAGGCTGTGTGAAATATGACCTTCACATTCAATTCACTAGACTCAAGTGCATTGATATATTCCTACTCTGATCTTTTATTGAGTTAACAACAGATTTAACCACTTATCTGATAATAAGAATTAGATAGGTCAGGGATCTATGCATAATGACAATCTTCAAAATTGTATAGAAACAAAGAAAATCTGTTCCTACTTAGTACTACTATTTAGTGTTGTATTAATGCGGTGGCAAAGCATTTTTCTCAAATGCAATCTTGTTTTTAAGTAAGGATGACGGAAAGACGCCAGGGGTATAACATAATATCGGGCATATAATTAATGTACTCAATATAAGTGATCATCCTATGAAGTTTGACAGTTGTAAAACTGTTAACAATATTAAGATCATTTGATATTGACCTTTGACCTTGTGACCCCAATAAAGATATGGATTTTTTATTCAATATAGGGAATCATCCTATGAAGTTTGAACACTGTAAGCCAATTTATGGAACTTGTGTTATGCTCCAGAAACCACAATTTTCAGAATGAAAATCATTGTGACCCTGACCTTTGACCTTATGGCCCTTTAATCAATTAGGGTCATGTATTGGACATGTCTGTTCATCCTATAAAATTTTTTAGCTGTAGGTTGATTAATACTTAAGTTATTTAGTGGAAACTGTTTTCAGTTTTAAGGTAATAGTGACCTTTGACCTTGTGACCCCAAAATCAATAGGGGTCTTCTACCCAATATGGACAATCATCCTATGAAGTTTGAATAATGTGGGCCAAATGGAACTTAAGTTATGCTCCGGAAACCAAATTGCTAACAGACAGACGCCAGGGGGTATAACAAAATATTTTTGGGCATATAAAAAGGAAAAGTACACTTTAATTGGGGAGGGTAATGGGCTGAAATTTCTGCCCAAAAATTGTGAAATGGGATAATGAGGGCCCAGGCATAGGTTTTGGCTGAATTAAAGCTTTTTGTTATCATAGATATTTCCTGGTTTAACCCATAACTTCATGAAATGGCTGTTTTCATTGAAAAGTCTCCTGTAACAAGTTTAAATTGCTATAAAACTATAAAAACAGCTTCAATACTAATCAAACTTGGCACAAGTGTTGACTTGACCATTGCCTTTGCGGCTTAAATTCCTGTTACCATGGCAACGAGGAGACATCTCAAAATTGCCAAAAATCACTATTTTGCATTGATTTTTTCCATCAAAATTTATTTCAAAGTGCTGCAACTTCTCAGTGGATTGAGATAGAGTCAAATGCTTTTCAGCGTTGGTTACACATTACCTTATGATTCCTCTGGGGTCATTTTTAGCCTCTCACAAGTCTAAAATTTTCTTGGCAATAACGGGGACTGCCGCCCCCCTTCAAACCCATCTAACATCCCCCTTCTGGCAACCCCCTGATGTATCTTTTAATTGGGGGGCCGCGCTGAAAAAGTGGTCACTTTAAGTTTTTTAAACAACATTTCTCAAACAAAAACAAGTGTTGGGGGCCTAAATAAGGCATTTTTTCACCATTTGAGACCAAAAAAATGGGGGGGGGGGTGAAAAAGGCGTTAAAAGGTGTGTACTATATCGCGTAATGGGTTAAGCTATGCTTCCGTATGACAAATATCCACAACATTTTTACCTGAAACACAAAAAACAGGTCTTGAGTCAAGGTGAAACGATAGCTGTAGTGTAGATATTGACTATAATTTAGAACTCTTTGTGGAGTGTTGACTTACAAAATTCTTGGTTTTAGTTTTTTCATTTAACTCTATATCAGTTTCACATAACACAAGTCTTCAGACCTATAATCCAAGTTCTTCAAAATTAGCATGTACATTAAAAGAAAAGGGGTAAACTAAGAACAGTTCAACATTCTGTTCTTGTAGCAATCGTCTAAAATACACAGGGTTCGACAAATTTCGGCAAGTAGCTTTGAATTTTTATTCGTCCTGCTGCAATATGTACTTGTCCTATAGTTCACTAAAGACCACACAGTAGATTAGAAAAGATGACCCTTAAAGCGCACAAGTTTAAAAAAAATAGGCCATAGCCCTCCCTAGCCTAGGCAGTTTTATATTGCACCCCCATCCATTCCAAAGACCAAATGATAGATTGGAAAAGGCTGTATAGAATAGGGAGAAGATCACATTTATAACTACATTTGATCTTTCCATTCTGGTAAACAGATAAATAATTCAAATGAAAATAACCTTCCTTTCAATAATGTCCTTATCAGGGATTGAAAAAGAAAAGTAACAACAACAAGGCTTAAAAAATATAGATTTCTTACATGTTCTGACTCACTTTTTTCTTTTTTTGAAGACACTGTTTAACTTTTTCCTCCCTGGCCAAACATTTGCAGAATTTCGCATTGTGACATTTTAAAATATTTTGTTAACAAATTTTTGTATTATCTTACATACCGGAATCGCCGCACAAGCTTTTAGTATATTTACAAAACCGATTCAGACAGAATTTAGCATTGCATTCAACAAATCAACAACTGTTTTGCCCATCACAATCAAACACACGGGAATTATTGTGACAGTGTGCTCTGTGTTACAAGTGAAACATGAAAAATGGTTTCAAAAGAATTGAATTGAAATTTGATCATTTTTATGCTAGAAATTTCACTCGTCATGCCGGACAAGCATTTCCAGGAGATTTACTCATCCGGAGTCAATTTTTACTAGTATATACAAGCGCACAAGTTGAGTTGTCGAGCCCTGATACATGTATATTTACATGGATTAATGGTACTGCAGAATTATACATGTTTATCACACACCTGTGCCGATTTTGCGACTCCGTAAATATGGTATTGCACGGCCGTGCATATATTTTGACGTGACGTCATTAGTGTTATACAAACATAGTGTAAAGACGCGCTAAATGTTAGCGTTATACTATAGGCGCGTCAATGATAAATGACTTATTTCACTTTAAACGGTCTTTATTTTTGGTATGTGATAAATAGAATATTAAATTCGTGTAAGTTAATTACTGAATTTATTGCACTCGTTGAATAAAATAATATTATGCTCGCCAGAGGCTCGCATAATATAATTTTATTCAACTCGTGCAATAAATTTAGTATTGAACTTACACTCATTCAATATCCTCTATATATTGCATACATTTAAGCATCCTCTTGTTGTCATTAGGAGATGGCATTGGTATTGATGACTGTCTCAAATACAATTTTGGCTGCCTCAAAACATAAAAATCACGCTGTTGTAAGCAAAGAAACAGACCATGTCCATGTCAGATAAATATACATCAACTTTACTAAACTACAAGTGTAGCTACATTTATCAAGAAAGCTTTTAAAATATATTTAAAGAAAACATTGGTATTGAACAAATTGATGTTAAATAATGTTCGGATAAAATATTACAGAAATAATTTGATGTGTTTCTGTTGTAATTCATATATGTTCTGTGAAATAAAATGTTAATTGAATGTATTTAGTAAGTCATACATTACCTTTTTTTCTTCCATCACATTCATTAAAACACTGTCATGCTTATGGGCCTTTTTTATTTCAGAGGAAGCTGTATTTCACTGTTGTTGAAGATGTGTTAACCAATGTAAAAGAGGCTTTTCTGGATGAAGGGGTTGATGAACAAGTTTTACAGGAACTTAAACAGGTAAATTGTTACCACTTAATTACCAAGGAAAATCATTACAATATTTATTATATTATTATGCCCCCTTCGAAGAAGAGGGGGTATATTGTTTTGCTAATGTCTGTCTGTCGGTCCGTCCGTCGGTCTGTCCGTCGGTAGACCACATGGTTTCCGCTGATTATCTTGAAAAGTATTTATCACAAAGTCTTCATATTTTACATAGTGATTGGTCATAACTAGTAGATGACCCCTATTGATTTTGGGGTCACTAGGTCAAAGGTCAAGGTCACAGGGACCTTAAATGTGAAAATGGTTTCCGCTGATTATCTTAAAAGTATGTATCACAAAGTCTTCATATTTCACACAGTGATTGGTCATTACTAGTAGATGACCCCTATTGATTTTGGGGTCACTAGGTCAAAGGTCAAGGTCACAGGGACCTTAAATGTCAAAATGGTTTCCGCTGATTATCTTTAAAAGTATGTATCACAAAGTCTTCATATTTCACACAGTGATTGGTCATTACTAGTAGATGACCCCTATTGATTTGGGGGCACTAGGTCAAAGGTCAGGTCACAGGAACCTTAAATGTCAAAATGGTTTCCGCTGATTATCTTTAAAAGTATGTATCACAAAGTTTTCATATTTCACACAGTGATTGGTCATCACTTGTAGATGACCCCTATTGATTTTGGGGTCATTAGGTCAAAGGTCAAGGTCACAGGGACCTTAAATGTCAAAATGGTTTCCGCTGATTATCTTTAAAAGTATGTATCACAAAGTCTTCATATGTCACACAGTGATTGGTCATCACTAGTAGATGACTCCTATTGATTTTGGGGTCACTAGGTCAAAGGTCAAGGTCACAGGGACCTTAAATGTCAAAATGGTTTCCGCTGATTATCTTTAAAAGTATGCATCACAAAGTCTTCATATTTCAAACAGTGATTGGTCATCACTAGTTGATGACCCTATTGATTTTGGGGTCACTAGGTTAAAGGTCAAGGTCACAGGACCTTAAATGTCAAAATGGTTTCCGCTGATTATCTTAAAAAGTATGCTTCACAAAGTCTTCATATTTCACACAGTGATTGGTCATAACTAGTAGATGACCCCTATTGATTTTGGGTCACAAGGTCAAAGGTCAAGGTCACAGGGACCTTAAAATGTGAAAATAATTTCTGCTGATTATCTTAAAAAGAATTCATCACAAAGTTTTCATATTTCACAAGTGATTGGTCATCACTAGTAGATGACCCCTATTATTTTTTCACTAGGTCAAAGGTCAAGGTCACAGGAAAATGTGAAAATGGTTTCCGCTGATTATCTTAAAAGAATTCATCACACAAAGTCATCATATTTCACATAGTGATTGGTCATCACTAGTAGATGACCCCTATTGATTTTGGGGTCACTAGGTCAAAGGTCAAGGTCACAGGGGCCTTAAATGTCAAAAGGGTTTCCGCTGATTATCTTGAAAAGTATTCATCACAAAGTCTTCATATTTCACCTAGTTATTGGTCATAAGTATTAGATGACCTCTATTGATTTAGGGGTCATTAGGTCAAAGGTCAATGTCACATGGGCCTTAAATGTCAAAATGGTTTCCGTTGATTTTTCCATAATTGAACACTTCCATGTACCCATTTTTGGCAAGTTTCTTTAATAAAATTACCAATTATGTCAGTCAATGGCTAGAAAGGGGGGTATATGTGTCGTTCGACATTCTTGTTATACTTACATTTCATTGTTTTGGTACCATTTACTGTTTGATTTTAAATTCATGTTGACAGTTTTGTTGTGTTTTTAACAGTTATGGGAAGGAAAGTTAACTGCATCCCGTGCCCTTGATCCAGCTGATCCTGAGCCTGTGGTTCCAAGCAACATTCCATATCCACTATTACAACAACAACAGTCTAATCAACCTACTGGTAATGTTAGTTTTATATATATGCCTTTGTCTTCTACTGGTGGTGGTGGAGGTAGTTTTCACTCCAGATGACAACAGTAAGCCACATTGAATTCACCAGAGCACAGTTCAACCACCTGGCAGGCTGCCAAGCAGTTTAACAGTACTTGTTGCCTTCACTTTCACAAGGAACTAAAGTTTCTGTACATGCCAAAGCAGAGGTACAGTGTGAATGACCATAGAAAGGATTTATTGATCAATCACAATGAAAGTGACCTGCCCGGTTGCCCCATTCACAGTCCATAGCTCTACCTATTGAGCTAACCGGACGGCCTATTCTTCATTAAATGTGGACTAGCTCTACTTAAAATCAAACTTTCCAATGTAAATGTCTGACTTTACATTCTAAAGTTCATATATTTATGCTCCCCGAAAAAATTTCGGGGGAGCATATAGTCGCCTCCTTGTCCGTCCGTCCGTCCGTCCTCTTTTCTTGTCCGGGACATAACTTTGAAACAACAAGAGGTATCAACATGAAACTTTGTAGGTAGATAGATCTCATTGAGTAGGTGTGCAGTGCACAAGAACCGTAACTCTGCCTTACCTAATTTTTGAATTATTCCCCTTTGTTTATTTTTACACTTTGAACTTTGTCCGGGACATAACTCTAAAAGTATAAGAGGTATCAACATGAAACTTTGTAGGTAGATAGATCTCATTGAGTAGGTGTGCAGTGCACAAGAACCGTAACTCTGCCTTGCCTAATTTTTGAATTACCCCCCTTTGTTTATTTTACACTTTGAAATTTGTCCGGGACATAACTTTAAAAGTGTAAGAGGTATCAACATGAAACTTTGTAGGTAGATAGATCTCATTGAGTAGAAGTGCAGTGCACAAGAACCGTAACTCTGCCTTGCCTAATTTTTGAATAATCCCCCTTTGTTTATTTTACACTTTGAACTTTGTCCAGGACATAACTCTAAAAGTATAAGAGGTATCAACATGAAACTTTGTAGGTAGATAGATCTCATTGAGTAGGTGTGCAGTGAACAAGAACTGTAACTCTGCCTTGCCTAATTTTTGAATTATCCCCCTTTGTTTATTTTACACTTTGAAATTTGTCCGGGACATAACTCTAAAAGTATAAGAGGTATCAACATGAAACTTTGTAGGTAGATAGTTCTCATTGAGTAGGTATGCAGTGCACAAGAACCATAACTCTGCCTTGTCTAATTTTTGAATTATCCCCCTTTGTTTATTTTACACTTTGAAATTTGTCCGGGACATAACTTTAAAAGTATAAGAGGTATCAACATGAAACTTTGTAGGTAGATAGATCTCATTGAGTAGAAGTGCAGTGCACAAGAACCGTAACTCTGCCTTGCCTAATTTTTGAATAATCCCCCTTTGTTTATTTTACACTTTGAACTTTGTCCAGGACATAACTCTAAAAGTATAAGAGGTATCAACATGAAACTTTGTAGGTAGATAGATCTCATTGAGTAGGTGTGCAGTGAACAAGAACTGTAACTCTGCCTTGCCTAATTTTTGAATTATCCCCCTTTGTTTATTTTACACTTTGAAATTTGTCCGGGACATAACTCTAAAAGTATAAGAGGTATCAACATGAAACTTTGTAGGTAGATAGTTCTCATTGAGTAGGTATTCAGTGCACAAGAACCATAACTCTGCCTTGTCTAATTTTTGAATTATCCCCCTTTGTTTATTTTACACTTTGAACTTTGTCCGGGACATAACTTTAAAAGTATAAGAGGTATCAACATGAAACTTTGTAGGTATATAGATCTCATTGAGTAGGTGTGCAGTGAACAAGAACCTTAACTCTGCCTTGCCTAATTTTTTAATTATCCCCCTTTGTTTATTTTTTACACTTTGAACTTTGTCCGGGACATATTTCTTAATGTATAAGAGATATCAACATGAAACTTTGTAGGTAGATAGATCTCATTGAGTAAGTTTGCAGTGCACAAGAACTGTAACACTGTCTTGCCTTCTTTTGTAGTTATTGCCCTTTGTTCATTTTGACACTTTGAACTTTGTCTGGGACATTATTCTAAAATTATAAGAGATATCAACATGAAACTTTGTAGATAGATAGGTCTCATTGGGTGGAAGTGCAGTGCTTAAGAATCATTACTCTGCCTTGCCTTATTTTGAAGTAATTGCCCTTTGTTTATTTTTACTTTTTGACTTTTGTCCTGGACATTACTTTAAAACTATTAGATATATCAACATGAAACTTTGTAGGTAGCTAGATATAATTGGATAGAACTGCAACGCTTCAAGAACCTTAACAAAGCCTGGTGTAATTTTGGAGTTATTGCCCTTTGTTCATTTTTTTTATACTTTCCTGTGTCCAGAACCTTCTCGGGGAGCATCACCCGGTTCAACCGGTTCTTGTTTATATTTTAAAGGACCTGCACATGTAAATATTCCAAGTTACACGGAAACCCAACTGTTTATTATGCAGATGTCTTAATGTAATATTAATAAAATAATATTTGCCAAATACTTTAAATTCCTGATGTTAAGCCTGACCTTTGATCAAAAATATTTTTTTTCTAGTTTCTACAGGCCCAATCAGTAGGTGAATGTTTTTGTACCAATCTGCTAAAGACTGTAACTTTACATTCCAAAAGTTAGAGCTTCTATACTTTTATCACCATACATCTGAAAGAGAGCATCATTTTATGGTATTGAAATATAACTGATGGCCTTCAAATTTAGGAAACTTCACTATTATATTATTATTAAATAATTAACAAAATTGTTTTGAATGAGGGTATTTTTTATCTTTCAGGCTTCGCGAAACTGCTGAAAAATTTGCCTGACATTCGGTCAGACACTTTAACTTTCAATTCTTGTCTGACCGAAAGAACTTTTGTCTGACCAAATTTTTTTTCCAAATATATGTATATGGTAATACCTTTGTGTTTTTTTTAAAGACATAACTTTTAAAGATTTGCAACACAATTTTATTCCCTTAAATAAAACATTAGTTTATCCAGATTGATGAACTGTCTGGAAATCAAAACATTCATGATCAAAGCGGCCATTTTTCCATTTACCCACAAATTCTCGGCGGCGCCTGGACTCGTATTCCTTTTGTTTCGTTTTTTTTCTTCATTGGTTAGTTTAAGATTTTTGCCGGGCGTAGCGCCAGCGTAATAATGTAGTAACACCGACATTTTGGTTATTGACAGTCGTATGTATCTAGAATTTGATTGGACACTTATAATGAAACGGTGAATCAAAACTCGGTTTACATTTTTTTATTCAAGGGAGAAAACTTGGTCTTGATCGGTCTTGGATATATCCCGGTATTCGTACCAGACATAAGGTCCGGAACTCCGAAAAAAAATATCGGACCGACCTGATTTTTGCCGGACATGTCCGACGGTCCGGCAACTTTCGCGAAGCCTGATCTTTGCAAACACTTCTTATTCTTGTTTGACTTTGATACTGGACATTAATTAACTTATCTTACATGATTTAATAAGTTAAAAAAATAACAAATATTTCCTGTGATTTTAATATATTATATGCATGAAGGAGTTTTCTGTTGCCAAGTTTACCTATGCTTGTTAAGGACCGAGGTTACCAAGCAATGAGCTTAACAATTTTTGGCTTTGTTACAATAAACTTGTATCTTAATTTGTTTTAACCAGTATTAACCATGTAGGTAGACCAGCTGTTTCTTACTAAGAAGGGATTTTAATAATATTAGGAATGGCTTATGTATTTAACCAACTATGTTTATAAATATTTATATGATTATTAATTATGTAGGAAAAAGAAAATTCTGTTTGTGTAATTGCTCCAAAGATAGAGGTCCTTAAAGTTACATTTAATAAATTTCATAAAAAACTAAATAGCGACATTTCATTAATAAAATATGTTTTATATCGACTCCAGGTCTTATTTTGGTGTCCAGACAACCAAAATGAGTTTTATAAGCATAAAAATAGGTAACCTCATTGTGGCGAAATGGGAAGTACAATTTCTGTTTGCATGAGAAACTCCGCCTTCGGATCATCGTTACATCAATAATAAATCAACAAACATGACTATAAGTAGCAGTCCTAATTTAACGGTATATTTCCGCATTGTAACGGATGTTTCCATACAAATTTAATCTTTTTATGAGATGATTACTTTAACTGAAGCCCAGGTTTAGTGCACCATGAAGCTAAAACTGTTAAAGTGTGTTTGCACAAGAAAATGTCATATTTGCTGTGTTCCGGATAGCAACTATAAAACTGTGATATAGCGCATACACGAGCTGATTATAGTCTTCATTTGCATGTTAAAATTCATATAAGAACTTTAGTGTTACCGTGGGGTTTCCTGTTTAAAATCCTAATTTATGAACAATATTTGATGAGATTTACAACAATACTATTAAACAGGTTAATGAAACTATAGAATATTTTATTATTAGGCCGACGGCAAAATATTTTTACATATTTATTTAATGTAGCTTTAAAGTGGACATATAGTGTTCATTGGAATGTTAGACTTGTTAAGAAATATGAGCCCAGTCAAGACAAAACCAACATAATGGGTTTGCGACCAGCATGGATCCAGACCAGCCAGCGCATCCGTGCAGTCTGATTAGGATCCATGCTGTTCGCTGACAAACCGTATAACAAGTAGTGAAACTGATAACAAACAGCATGGATCCTGATCAGACTGCGCGGATGCGCAGGCTGGTCTGTATCCATGCTGGTTGCAAACCCATTATGTTGGTTTTGTCATGATGCAGCTCATATAATTAACTTTTATCTTACATCAATACGTTAAAATTGCAGAAGCTGTGAGTGTGACTGAGCTGTGTAGCAATTGTTTTCTTTACTGAGGTCAAGAATTTTTTTTTGAAAAGTTTATCTGTAAAGTAGTCTGTAAGTCATGGAAAATCTAACTTGACCCAATTAGATTGAAAATTCGAAACTCTACATGTATAGAAATGTCAAACTACTTGTTTAATTATATGGTTTTCATTGTTATTGCTTAAGACAGTAATTTCTTTAGATTTTAAATACCTACTTTAAATTTAGTATTAATTTTTTTAGATTAAAAATACTTTCTTTGAAAAATTTATTCACTGTTGCAGTTTTTTATTACCAGGGTCATATACGTACATTAAATTTTAAATTTCAGGAATGTTGGCTTTTTTTGCCTCTCTTTGTGTGAACAAAATATCAGCAGTAATATAAAATTCTTCTCCACATACCTTACAAATTCATGTAGCAATTATAATATATGCCAAGTTAATATCTGCAGTGGAAGTAAGTTTGAGCAGAACTTAGCTCTTTTTGTAATCTATTTTAACATTAATACACAAATATGTTTGAAGCACTATGAATATTCTGTTATAACTATGTTATTCCAGTGGTACCTGCAGGGAGTGGCGTACAACAGCAGATTCCTATACCTGTACAAATAAATCAAGATGGACAGATTGTAAGTTCTCAAATATTTTACCTTCAGCCTTAATCTTCCTTTACTGTATATAATGAGCTGCTCATGTCATCAGTTTATACCAGTCTGTATGGTCATGTGGTTTTGTAAGTATATAACCAGTTTGTACATCCATGTAGTCTGGTCAGAAAATAACCAGTTTGTACATTCATGTAGTCTGGTCAGTATATAACCAGTTTGTACATCCATGTAGTCTGGTCAGAAAATAACCAGTTTGTACATTCATGTAGTCTGGTCAGTGTATGACCAGTCTGTACATCCATGTAGTCTATCGAGTCAGAATATAACCAGTTTGTACATTAATGTAGTCTGGTCAGTATATTACCAGTCTGTACATCCATGTAGTCTGGTCAGAATATAACAAGTTTGTACATTCATGTAGTCTGGTCAGTATATGACCAGTCTGTACATCAATGTAGTCTAGTCAGAATATAACCAGTTTGTACATTTATGTAGTCTGGTCAGTATATAACCAGTCTGTACATCCATGTAGTCTGGTCAGAATATAACAAGTTTGTACATTCATGTAGTCTGGTCAGTATATGACCAGTCTGTATATCCATGTAGTCTGGTCAGAATATAGCCAGTCTGTACATCCATGTAGTCTTGTCAGAATATAACCAGTTTGTACATTTATGTAGTCTGGTCAGTATATAACCAGTCTGTACATCCATGTAGTCTGGTCAGAATATAACAAGTTTGTACATTCATGTAGTCTGGTCAGTATATGACCAGTCTGTATATCCATGTAGTCTGGTCAGAATATAACAAGTTTGTACATTCATGTAGTCTGGTCAGTATATGACCAGTCTGTGTATCCATGTAGTCTGGTCAGAATATAGCCAGTCTGTACATCCATGTAGTCTGGTCAGAAAATAATCAGTTCTGTACATCCTTGTAGTCTGGTCAGTATATAACCAGTTTGTACATTCATGTAGTCTGGTCAGTATTGACCAGTCTGTACATCCATGTAGTCTGGTCAGAATATAACCAGTCTGTACATCCATGTAATCTGGTCAGTATATAACCAGTTTGTATATCTATGTAGTCTGGTCAGAATATAACCAGTCTGTACATACATGTAGTCTGGTCAGTATATAACCAATTTGTACATCCATGTAGTATGGTAAGAAAATAACCAGTCTGTACATTCATGTAGTCTAGTCAGTATATAACCAGTCTGTACATTCATGTAGTCTGGTCAGTATATAACCAGTCTGTACATCCATGTATTCTGGTCAGTATATAACCAGTCTGTACATCCATGTAGTCTGGTCAGTATATTACCAGTCTGTACATCCATGTAGTCTGGTCAGTATATAACCAGTCTGTACATCCATGTAGTCTGGTCAGTATATAACCAGTCTGTACATTCATGTAGTCTGGTCAGTATATGACCAGTTTGTACATCCATGTAGTCTGGTCAGTATATTACCAGTCTGTACATCCATGTTGTCTGGTCAGTATATAACCAGTCTGTACATCCATGTAGTCTGGTCAGTATATAACCAGTTTGTACATTCATGTAGTCTGGTTAGAAATAATCAGTCTGTACATTCATGTAGTCTGGTCAGAAAATAACCAGTCTGTACATTCATGTAGTCTAGTCAGTATATAACCAGTCTGTACATTCATGTAGTCTGGTCAGTATATAACCAATCTGTACATCCATGTATTCTGGTCAGTATATAACCAGTTTGTACATCCATGTAGTCTGGTCAGTATATGACCAGTCTGTACATTCATGTAGTCTAGTCAGAATATAACCAGTCTGTACATTCATGTAGTCTGGTCAGTATATAACCAGTCTGTACACCCATGTAGTCTAGTCAGTATATAACCAGTCTGTACATTCATGTAGTCTGGTCAGTATATGACCAGTCTGTATATCCATGTAGTCTGGTCAGAATATAGCCAGTCTGTACATCCATGTAGTCTAGTCAGAATATAACCAGTCTGTACATCCATGTAGTCTGGTCAGTATATAACCAGTCTGTACATCCATGTAGTCTGGTCAGAATATAACCAGTTTGTACATACGATGTAGTCTGGTCAGAATATAACCAGTCTGTACATCCATGTAGTCTGGTCAGAATATAACCAGTCTGTACATCCATGTAGTCTGGTCAGTATATAACCAGTTTGTACGTCCATGTAGTCTGGTCAGAATATAACCAGTTTGTACATCGATGTAGTCTGGTTAGTGTATGACCAGTCTGTACATCCATAACCAGTCTGTACATCCATGTAGTCTAGTCAGAATATAACCAGTTTGTACATTCATGTAGTCTTGTCAGTATATAACCAGTCTATACATCCATGTAGTCTGGTCAGTATATTATTGGTCTGTACATTCATGTAGTCTGGTCAGTATATAACCAGTTTGTACATCCATGTAGTCTGGTCAGTATATAACCAGTTTGTACATCCATGTAGTCTGGTCAGTATATGACCAGTCTGTACATCCATGTAGTCTGGTCAGAATATAACCAGTCTGTACATCCATGTAGTCTGGTCAGTATATAACCAGTCTGTACATCCATGTAGTCTGGTCAGTATATAACCAGTCTGTACATCCATGTAGTCTGGTCAGTATATAACCAGTCTGTACATTCATGTAGTCTGGTCAGTATATAACCAGTTTGTACATCCATGTAGTCTGGTCAGTATATAACCAGTCTGTACATCCATGTAGTCTGGTCAGTATATAACCAGTCTGTACATCCATGTAGTCTGGTCAGTATATAACCAGTTTGTACATTCATGTAGTCTGGTTAGAAATAACCAGTCTGTACATTCATGTAGTCTGGTCAGAATATAACCAGTCTGAACATCCATGTAGTCTGGTCAGTATATGACCAGTCTATACATCCATGTAGTCTGGTCAGTATATAGCCAGTATGTACATCCATGTAGTCTGGTCAGTATATTACCAGTATGTACATCCATGTAGTCTAGTCAGAATATAACAAGTTTGTACATTCATGTAGTCTGGTCAGTATATGACCAGTCTGTACATCCATGTAGTCTGGTCAGAATATAGCCAGTCTGTACATCCATGTAGTCTGGTCAGAAAATAATCAGTCTGTGCATTCATGTAGTCTGGTCAGAAAATAACCAGTCTGTACATCCATGTAGTCTGGTCCGTATATAACCAGTTTGTACATTCATGTAGTCTGGTCCTTATATAACCAGTTTGTACATCCATGTAGTCTAGTCAGAATATAACAAGTTTGTACATCCATGTAGTCTGGTCAGTATATGACCAGTCTGTACATCCATGTAGTCTGGTCAGAATATAGCTGGTCAGTACATCCATGTAGTCTGGTCAGTATGTAACTGGTCTGTACATCCATGTAGTCTGGTCAGTATATGACCAGTCTGTACATCCATGTAGTCTGGTCAGAAATAACCAGTCTGTACATCCATGTAGTCTGGTCAGAATATAGCTGGTCAGTACATCCATGTAGTCTGGTCAGTATGTAACTGGTCTGTACATCCATGTTGTCTGGTCAGTATATGACCAGTCTGTACATCCATGTAGTCTGGTCAGAAAATAACCAGTCTGTACATCCATGTAGTCTGGTCAGTGTATGACCAGTCTGTACATCCATGTTATCTGGTCAGAATATAACTAGTCTGAACATCCATGTTACGCCTGGTCAGAATATAACTAGTCTGTACATTCATGTAGTCTAGTCAGAATATAACATGTAGTCTGGTCAGTATATAACCAGTCTGTACATCCATGTAGTTTAGAATTTTTATTCTACAAGTTGCTCTTTTTCATATTTTGATTTTAAAATAATTGAAATTTCCATGGGACAGTCCTGCACAGTGGAAGTCTATGATTACAAAAAATAAATTGTTAATTGGGCTTTTATATTAAACTCTTAAGATGATACCCAGTTTACCTCAACCCCCATTATAGTTTTGTTTTACTTAAAAAAGTTCAATTTGTATAGGAAATCAAAAAAAAAAATAGAATAGGATTACTGTTTGTTGGAGACTTTATTGTTACCAGTAATATTTACTTTGTATTTCAGAGTAATGCAGCTAGCATGGCATTTTCTGCCCAGGGTGGAATGTTCCCTCAACAACTTCAAGCTCTAGTCAATGTTAACCCAGGTGCTCAACTTACCCTTCAACAAACAGGTAATTTACAAATGATTGGGCATACACAATTTAGCTGGAATAAACATTTTGTAACCAACAGTTGAAGATAACAGTTAAAAATAACAACAAAAACATCAAAATAGTGTCAACATAATTCAACCATTTCTTTCATCAGATAAATTAACAGTTTACAAAACTTATCAGAACATAAATGAGAATGTTTAGGAATGCCAGCAACAATACTTAAATTGGAAAAAAAAGCATTGTAAAATGTCTTAAGATGGAGAATTTCAGAGTAATCAAAAGGAACTTCTGGAACACATAATAAAAGAATAGCTTCTTTTGGTAGTCTTGTGCATCTAAGTAACATCAGGGCATTTCCTTTTATATAAAAATTCATTTTTAAAGAAAATTGACAAAAAATTTAATGCAGACAGACAATTAGAAATTTTATAATTCTCAGTTTAGGGAAAAACGTGTTTTTCATTGGGAATGCCTCTGTTTACCGGTAGTAGGTTATAAGAGGGTTATAAGGGAGAAAAGGTGTTATAACTATTGTAAAGTTGAGAATCATCTACAGATGTCTGACCCATTGGATGATCCCAACCATTTTTTCATGTCATGTATTTAAATGCTCATTTTGTTTTGTTTCAGCCAATGGTCAGTATATATTGCAAGCATTAACCCCTAGTGGTCAAGGTCAGATGGTAAGCATGGGTCAGCAAATCATACAAGCCCAACCAGGACAAATACAACAAGTACAGGTATGCAATTCAATATGCTGCTCAGTATATTTCAATTATAGTTCTTACAAGTGTCACTTTAAGTATGTTATGTTCATCCTACTCACCACTACACCAGCATTGTTGGTACAAATAAAACAACTTTAACAATTAAATCTGCCAGTCATAGGAAGATACAATATGATGTCTTTTTGATATTATTTTTGTGTGTGCGTTTATCTAAAGGGGAAAAAACATGGAATAATTGTTCAAAACTTTGAAAGATTTCTGAGATGAGATGTTTATCTTGAATTTATTTACATTTAAATAGTAAAGAGCTGTATAACTGCTGCCTGTAGTTTGAAAAATTGTTGTTTAAACTTTTTTTAAACTTTATGAAAGAATACTACAACAGTATGAAAGAAATATGTTTGTATTTCTTCTTAAGACAGTTGGGACATGCATGAAATAAAATTTTCATGTTTGTTAAATAACAGAGATATAGCTTTATACCCATTAATAGTTACTGTGTATATGATAGTCACTGTGTATTTCACTATAATGTTCTGTTTTTAGGGACAAAATCTTCCTCAATTTGATGGTGTACATGATGAAAAACACACAGATACAACTGACACAGAGCACAGAGATACAGATACACTAAACACAGAGCAACCCTGTTCCTCACAAGACAGTGAGCCTAGCTGTTCTGGTGCTTGTGGTTGCTACAAGCAAGAAGTTGAGATTGAATTTGAAGCTTCCAAAGCAATGTCAAAAAAGTTGGCGAGAGATATCAAAAGAAGTATAAAAAGCCGGGTACCTCAATTAGATGGAAACCATGACACAAGTTCATCAGATGATGATGATTATGATGATGATGATGGGAATGATGATGATGATGAGAAAGAGGATGGTGAAGAAGAGGGGGAAGAAGAGGTAAAATATGTCACTATTGTGAATATTAGTACCCTACTGGTTTCACCATCTAGGGAACTTTAGGTTTGCTTTCTGGCCATCTGTGAGTTAGTCTGCTCATGCACAAAACTGGATCACATGATAACTCTTAAAGTACTAAAAATATTTTTATGAAACTTAAAATATGGAAATATGTCAGTATGGAGAATATGCACATTATTTTTTCTTCCTAATTGAAAAATCTTTTTGCTATGACAACAAATGGACTTGAAATATTAGGCAGGCAAACTTTACAATGATACAGACAAAGATTGACCTTGTTCATTTATGGCAAAATTGAAAGGCCATGGCCCGTCATAGTGTTACTGATATGGTTCTTATGGGGTTTGAACATGTAGGGGACTTTGTGTTATATGCAATACTTTGATGATTGCTTATTATTTTGTTGTTGACTATAATGCAAAAGAGATTTTTTTTTTTCAATTAATTCTTGTTTCAATTAATGTACTTATTACCTTATTATTCCAAGAATAGGGAGAGCTGTTGTACTCACCCAGGCTTTCGCATCTGTGTTTATGCTGTCATTGCTGTAACTCTTTGGTTTCTCAGAAACTCCAAAAAAAAAATGTTTAAGAAATAATATCGGTCTGAGTGGTGTTTAACACTGGTTTAGAGTTTTGATCCGTATGATGCCGTAGGCCTGAGTGGTTAATTTTTTCGCATCAAAACGACTTATTTGAGAGTATAATAGGAGGTCACTGTACAAAGCCCTTATCTCTTAAATGAACTGAATTTAGTCACAAGAGCTAAAAAAAAGAAAAATCTTGTTAACTATATAGTGTTGTTATCCAAATATCTTGTTAATTGGTCTCCTAGTTTGCTTTGATGATTTCTAGGTCAAGTTCGAATATGGGCACCTGGGGTCAAAAACTAGGTCACTGCCCAAATATAGAAAACCTTGTTAACACTCTAGTGGTCACATTTTTGACACAATTGTCAAACTTGGTCAGGATGCTTGTCTTAGTAATTGCTTGGATGAGTTTGATGGGTCAGATGAGCGATCTAGGGCCATCTTGGCCCTCTTGTTTCTTTTTGTTACTTTTTATGCCACCGCAGCATCTGCGATGCGGTGGCATATAGCGATTCACCTGTGTGTGTGTGTGTTTGTTTGTGTGTGTGTGTGTTATATAGATTATATAGTGAACTTAAAAAATCTTCTTGTGAAAAACCACTTGTCCAATTTCAACCAAACTTGGCAGGATTGTTCCTTGGGTGAAGGGCTTCCAAAGTTGTTCAAAGAATTTCATTCCATGCAGAAATCTGGTTGCCATGGCAACCAAAAGGAATTATAAGAATAAATTTAAAAAATCTTCTTGTAAAGACCCAAAAGGCCTAGAGCTTAGATATTTTGCATAAGGCATTGTCTGGTAGACCTCTAACAAGATTGTTCAAATTTTAGCCCTGGGGTCAAAATTGGCCCCGCCCCGGGGGTCATTGATTTTCACTATGTACATATAGTAAAAACTTAAAATACCGTCTTGTAAAAACCCAAAAGGCCTAGAGCTTAGATATTTTGCATAAGGCATCATCTGGTAGACCCTTACCAAGATTGTTCAAATTATAGCCCTTGGGTCAAAATCGGCCCCGCCCCGGGGTCATTTATTTTCGCTATATGTACATACAGTAAAAACTAAAAACACCTTCTTGTAAAGACCCAAAAGGCCTAGAGCTTAGATATTTTGCATAAGGCATTGTCTGGTAGACCTCTACCCAGATTGTTCAAATTATAGCCCTGGGGTCAAAATCAACCCCGTCCCAGGGGTCATTGGTTTTCCTTATATGTATATAGTAAAAACTTAAAAAAAAAATCTTCTAGCAATTGACAAATGCTAGGGGTTAGATATTCTGCATGAAACATTGTGTTGTAAACCTCTGGCAAGATTGTTCAAATTATAGCCCTGGGGTCAAAATTACCCCCGCCCTGGGGGTCATTGATTTCAATATATACATATAGTGAAAAATAAAAAAATCTTATTGTCTGAAGGTACAAGGCTTAGATCTAGCTTTAATATTTGTTAAATAATATCATCATATGAAAGGTACTCTACCAAAGATGTTCAAATTTTGCCTCTTGTGTCAAAATAAGCCCCGCCCCTGGGAGCCATAGGTTTATCTTATATGTATATAGTTAAAACTTAAAAAATCATCTTCTCTAAATTGACAAAGGATAAAGTTAAGATATTTTGCATGAAACATTATGTAGTGAACCTCTAGCAAGATTGTTCAAATTTTAGCCCTGGGGTCAAAATTGGTTCCGCCCCGGGGGTCATTGATTTTCATTATGTACATATAGTGAAAAAAAAAATTTGTCTGAAGGTTCAAGGCATAGAGCTTTGATGTTTGATATATAATATCATCTATAGGTCCTCTACCAAAGTTTTTCAAATGTCAAAAATTGGCCCTGCATGGGGGCAGTGATTCTCATTATGTACACGTAGTAAAAACAGAAAATAAAACAAATGTTTTCTGAATGGGAGAAAGCTATAGCTTAGATATTTGACTTGAAATGTTGTTTTGTGGACCTGTATCAAGATTGTTATTAAACCCTTGGGTCAAAATTATGCCTTGCCCAAGGGGACAATGACCTACTTTCTTGTCCTTTGATGTACAGCAATGACATTTTGACCATGTGCACAGTTTTAGTTGTAAAATTGAACTTTGACCTAGATTTTGATGATGTGACCTACTTTCTTGTCCTTTGATGTACAGCTATGAAATTTGAACCATGCGGTGGCATAGCATTTTTCTCAAATGCAATCTTGTTGAAATTTAAGTTACTTTTCTCTTAACAGCCCTGACAATGTTAGACTTGTCAGCAAAACTAAAATTGAGATGCCAAATGGGGAAAACCTTTAAAAAGTAGTCTCGTCATTGAAAAGTGTGAAATTATATTTTGATAATTTTCACTGTGAAGTTATCAAATATAATTTTCATAGATAAATCAGTAGTCCACTCAAAAGCATAAAATAAAGGTCAAATAGTGGTAATGGGTTGTTTTGAAAAGAAAGTTAGAGACAAGTCTAAACTTTTGTTAAAAGACAAGGAAATTCCGCAGATTTTGGGTGAATATTATTTGTGTAACTAGAAACTCATTCATTCATGTGAACTATTTTGATGATCAAGTGGAAGATTTTTCTTCAAAAAAGAGGGAGATTTTAGAATTTGCAATAAACAAAGAAGGAAATTCTGACATGAAAAATAGCGAAATTTCTTTAATTTGTGAAAATACCCCTTATTTTAAGAAAAAACTTTGAAAATACGACTGGAGAAAGTGGGAGTTTGCCACTAAAAGTGGGAGAGTTCACATATTGTATGCTCATTTAAAATAGAACCTATGCATTCATGATTAATTTTGTAGGAGCCTTTGAACTCAGATGATGATGTCAGTGAAGAAGATCCTACAGAACTGTTTGATACAGATAATGTAGTTGTTTGTCAATTTGAAAAGGTAGGCTTACATTATATTGTGAATACTTGCTTACCAGTAAAAGTTGATGGTTAAATTCTTTTGACTGAATTACAGATCGTGACATATGTCATCTTACATTTTAAGTATAAAATTACAATTGCCTGTGAAATTTCCTAGAATAACTGGAACAAATATTACAATTGAATGCTTATTTTTCACTGACATAAAACATATTAAACCTTTACTTTTATGGCAGTAAATGAACTAAAGTAATTAGAATTAAAATCCCATAAAACATCTTATCAGTTGTTTCATACTGTAATAACTAATATACCCGTCTTAATTATGATGGGTAAGGTATGAAAGTTTGCTATGGATTTACGTTTTTGTATTTTTATGCCCCTTGGCAAACAGTAATTGAACTGTATATTTGCATCGGGTTAAATAATACAGTCCGGTTTGATACAACTAGTTGCTTTATATGAATATACATCAAAATCAAGGCCATGATTATGCCCGTTTCTTTTTCTTTATTTGTCACCCCTTATTACACAAGCAATTTAGCATTTATGTCTTATTTGGCAATTGAATAGTTTTCAACTCCATTAAAAAATAATATCATGCCACCAATTTTTTTTCTGACAAGAACAAAATGTCATGACTGCTGTCTCAGGTTGCATAGCTGTGTTAAAATTTATAATTTTTCTTAAGTGTTGTCTCATTTGAAATGTTTAACTGAGTGACTGATTAAAACTTTTTGGTAAATTGATTACTGATCAGAATCATTGCTAGGGTCGTATGTGTTTACCAAACACAGGTTAAGATACAATTTTAAAATAGAAAACCAGATCTTGTAAAAGCACCATTTATTTTTTCATAGGATGTTTCTTCGTTTCATACACTTAGTTACACATCTCACACTGACATTCTGTTTTGGAAGTTCATGTACTCTATACAGCTTTACTTGCTCCATTGTAAACTGGGTCATATATTAAAGAAATGATAAATGTGTTTCTATATCTTTCATGGGATTATTAGAATATAAGCAGAGTCACAAATTTGTATCACTTTGATTTTTTTGTATATAAAAGTCATTTATCTTATATATTTCTTATATAAAATCAGGGCAGTTAGAAATTGTGGCAGTCATAAATTGTTGTAGTTGATTATTGGCTAAAATCAATCTAAAAGTTCTTAAATCTTTTTAAAAGCGTTGACAAGCTACTCCCTTATTATTTATGTTTGATAAAAAAAATCTGAATAGTATATCTTGGTGATAAAAAAGAAATGTCTAAAAGTTTTTACCTAGTTCTTTCTTTTGTGTAGTAATTTTACTTCAGAATGGTCAATAACTTTGTTGAATTGAATAAAGTGTCAGTTGTTTACTGTGTGAAGTTTTTCTCCATCTGCTTTCAAGTGGGTGTCATATTAAAATTAGTGAAAAAAACAGGTAAATCTCATAGAAAAGGTTTTCTTTTGCAGATAAGCAGAAACAAAAGTAAATGGAAGTTTAATCTCAAAGATGGAATTATGAATCTAGAAGGAAAAGACCATGTGTTTCAGAGAGGTATTGGTGATGCAGAATGGTAGTCATATTTACTCTATGAACAGTGAACTTGGAACTGTGATCTGTAAACCAGTCCAAAAATGTTGCAGACTGTATCTCTTTTTTTCTAGCATTTTTCTATTACTTTACAATTAAGTGCAGTACCAGTCCAGACTGTGTTTTTTGTGTGTAAAAATCATGGTTTAATTTTAATCATTTAATTTTTTTTTCAAATTGTTCTGGCTTTGATCGGTTTTATATATGTTGTATTACAAAATAATTATTTGCCATATGTAATATTATTGTTTATTGTTTGACAATGATATTTCACCCAAATTCTGACAAATAAAGAGATAATGTTTAAATATAAATCATCCACGATTGAATATTTGAAATTCATTGAAACATTTCTTCTAAACTATCAATTGTATATTGTGATGCTTTAAAATATACCTTTATATAGATGAAAGAAATTAGAAATTGTTTGTATTAAATCTAAACAAAAATAAAATAGCTTTTGATTTGGTTTATAATTTTTGTATTGATAATTGTCATTAAAGTTTAAGTGATAAGGAACTGTACCAAAGGGATGACTGAAATACATTGCTGCAATAAATTAATAGAAAAAAGGTCTTCTTTTTTTCAAAATTGTCACAGCCATCAGTGAAGAACATGGTTGAACTGTCTAAATTAGCAGGTTGGCCTGGCTAGATTGGCAGGTTATTTTTGGTTTTAGAAGTTTTTTCCCCGCATCATGGCTTGCTTAAAAATGTAATAACAAGATGAACTAGGGAACTGCATAAAATGTACATAGATTACTTTCAAATACATGCAGATAATATAAATGAAAATAAATTTGGTAGATGATATAGAGCTCTATATACATTGTTAGAAATTTGAAAAAAATCAACAAAAACAATCAGTTCTTTTCTATATTTTCTGAAAAGTGAACTGAAATAGGATCAAAGGTTAAAGAGGGAAATATAGAGGTTGAGCAGGAGCTAGTCAGGTATATATTCGAACAAAGCAGTTTTAATCATGTTTCATAGGTTTGTGGGCATTAGTCTCTCCACATATCATGCTGATTATTGCCAACACATGAATCCATCTCAATATTAATGATTTCTTTATTCTGTTCTGTTCTGTTTGTATGAAATGTTTTATTTTGTTGTAGGTACCATTTTGCTACTGTTGTTTGTGAATAAGTTTTATATGGTATTTTATGATGATACAAATGTGTATATTGATACATTTTGATTTTTGTTGTACATTTTGCATTCATATATCATAATGTTACAGAACAAGCATAGATGTAGAGTTATTATTAATAACTTAAGAATACATCAGCGAAGGGTCCAGACTCCCCTGTTAAAAAGAAATTCCTAAATTTTATTACCAATATCAAACTAAATCTGATTGGTTGAAATGAATCAAAAATTTGAAAATTGACCAATCATAGATTGTGATTTTTAGACTGGTTTACTTGTTTTTGTTGGTATATAATTTTGGAACCTTGTGTAGATAGGTTTATTGTTTTGTTACCTGTGATTGGTTAATAGTTATGAGGGCGCCAAACTTCATCTGTAAAAATGTATAGATGTTCATACTAATTGATAAATGAATTTGTATGAGAATTCGGATTTTCAGAAATACATTGTAGTTGCATGTTATTTGTTTTAGACTCATTATTAATGAGAATTCTTAATGAGAATTTGATTCAACTGCATTCCATTGCCATGTTAAAAAATAGAGAAGTATCTTGCAAATTCTGTTTTTTATTTACACCCAGTTCTTTTAATTCTGTATCTTTTCTTAAACGTCTGTTGAAATATTTTTGAATGATGAATGAGAGATGTTATCTCTTTACGTTTGTTTGTGAAAGAATGTTAACTCTTAAGCCTGCTGGCAGCAACAGATTCTGCCCTTGAGTGCAGACCACGAGTATCTGGCAAATTCATGCTGTCCATTGCAGACCACGAACCACCTGGCACTTCCATGCGGTCTGCTCATGGCCTGCACTGTTTGCTATTCAGTCAAAACATATTTTGAAATTTTCCCTGAAAGATGTTTTATTCTCTTGCCTAGTTTGAAAGATGGACAAGTCCATTAAAGATATTTAGCATGGCATGGGTTTAACAAATTCATAAGTATATCCTATATATTTTAGAAAAGATAGTCTATTGATAAAGTCCCCTAATTTCTTCTGGGTATTATAGATATATAAAAAAGATTATTTCGTCAATATTAATATTGTATATGTATTTTTTTCTTTGTTTACTTTGCAACTTAACTATTAACAATGTTCATGTTACTTGATTGCTTAGTGGTATATCTATATACATTATAGATATAAAGTAGAATCTATGTTAAAAGGCTTTTTGTATTTCTAGTGTTGCTATTTATAGAATTTAACTGTCTCAATAAGACGTTTTATTATATACTTATATTTGTGAAACATTGAGATGAAATAAAATGCCTATTCTCCTTTTCAGTATTTTCAGTGTAAATATATATTTTTCACTGCAGTGAAACATATTTTCCTTATTTTCATTGGTGTCTTGCTGGACTACTTTCTTCTAAATTCAGCCATTACACTAAATTTAACTGGAAGTCTTTCAAATTGTGACGTCTAAAAAGAGAAAAAATTGTATTTAATATTATAAACAGAAAATTCAAGTTTTTTTCCCCTTAAAATACATTAAATATTTCATGAGTGGCAGTAGTGATGTTATAGTACAATGTATACAGTACAGTAACTTTCAAAGTTTTGGTGCAAATTGATGGTATCCTCAATAAATCATATAATTTCTTTTGTGCTATATGTATGTTTAACTGATATGTTGTTTTTATCATGAACATGATTATATGAATGGTGTGGAAATTATCTCATTAGGTCATAAATTTAAGGTCATTAGTTTAAATCTTTCATAAATAAATGTTTCTGATTTCTATGTTAAACATTTTCTGGTAGAGATAAAGTAAGACAATTATTTTTCTTCTTATGTTAAAGTAAAAGAGTTTTGCAGTTGTATACGGCTTGATTAATGAAACATTATATAACTTGTGAATGAACTGCCTTAAAGACTTACAAAATATATGAAGTTCCTATAGAATAATTTAACTTGATAACGAAAAATGTTCTTACACAATTCCTCCCTGACAACACAACGGTCTGGAAATATTTTTTTCAAGATTTATTTACCATTTGATGAAGGTTTGTACACAAATAACTTGCGTGCAAATTAATTTTAACAGATCATTTCTCACTTTGTTGTTTATAGACTAATTATTTTTATCATGCAAAATGACCCAAATATGAAAAGTGGGAGAAAGCATTTCTTTCAATCAGAGTAAGAATCACATAAAAATTGGTTTTCAATTTAATTCTTAGCATATTTCTTTATTATCCTTCGCAGATTTTTTCATTTAAATGCTTTGCTTGATATATGTAAGATTTTCAAATTATATATTTTTAGGCTTTTGACTTCAGTGGAGCTCCTTTAAAATATTAATGCTAGATGCATGAACAATGTAGTTATCATAAAATTAATGTCATTTGTTAACATTTATAGATTAATAGTTAAAGAAAATATGATATGCTCTTATCATTTTTGTTGTTGATACATTTTGTCTTTAACTTTTTATTTTGCAAATTGATATAATGTTACATATTTCATGATTACTGGTGCTTGAAATACATTTTTTTCAATTTATTATTTTTTTGTGTTTTCTTTTTGGTGGTGTTAAGACACCATAAAATCAATATTGAATTGTGATGGGAAAATGAGAAATTATTGTTATTGAGTAGTGGAAATATGGCGTGTCACATTGTGTGTGTTCTATAACTGTTTCCTATGATGTTATTATTCAGTTATTTTGTAAGACTATATGCTTAATCTTACCTTGGAGGTTTCATAGAAGGTGAATTTGAAACTACAGTTATGAACAGATATTGTTAGTATGGTATTTTATTTCTATGTAACTTTAAGATCATTTGTGCAGCCTGGTGGACAGTGGCTGCTGCTATATTTAGTCTCTTCATTTTACAGAGTTTTCAGTTACCAAATTTTTTGTTGCCAAATAATGTTTTGGCATTTTACACATACCTGTAGATATTTTCCCCCATTTAATTTTTTTCCTTGAAAATTTCATTTTGAATATGATTATTTTAGATAGTGCTGTACCAGCCTACTTCTCATAGAAAGTTATATAAGGGTAATGATCATTTTGATTACAATTTGTTTGGCCTTAAAATTAGTCTCATTGATTAAATAATTTGTCTGTCATTAATCAGTGCTTTATTTTGTAAAGCATTATAAGAAATCATCTCTTGTTTAGTTATATAAAGGATACAAAATGTTCTGGACAGATCAGAATTCATTGACAAACTTTCCAAATGTATAATTTTCTGCAATATATTAATAAATGAAGATAGTCTGTATCATATCTTAAGTGTTGTCTATATTTGATAAAAGTTGACCAGTGAAACAGGAATTCTGACCCTAATTTTCAATTACAACTTAAGTATGATTTTCAATTACAACTACATGTAAAGTATCAAGTTGGTGTCCAGTTTTTAAGTACATGTACTATTAGATATTGGATGGAATGAATGGTATTTTTTTGTTCAGTTGGTGTATGTAATTTTTGTTCTGTTGGTATGTTTTTATGCCACCGCAGCATTCTCTGCGATGCGGTGGCATATAGCGATTCACCTGGTGGTGTGTGCGTGTGTGTGTGTGTTTGTTTGTTTGTTTGTGTGTGTGTGTGTGTTATATAGATTATATAGTGAACTTCAAAAAATCTTCTTGTGAAAAACCACTGGTCCAATTTCAACCAAACTTGGCAGGATTGATCCTTGTGTGAAGGGCTTCCAAAGTTGTTCAAAAGAATTTCATTCCATGCAGAAATCTGGTTGCCATGGCAACCAAAAGGAATTATAAGAATAAATTTAAAAAATCTTCTTGTAAAGACCCAAAAGGCCTAGAGCTTAGATATTTTGCACAAAGCATTGTCTGGTAGACATCTACCAAGATTGTTCAAATTATAGCCCTGGGGTCAAAAATCGGCCCCCGCCCTGGGGGTCATTGATTTCACTATATGACATATAGTAAAAACGTAAAATACCCTCTTGTAAAGACCCAAAAGGCCTAGAGCTTTGATATTTTGCATAAGGCATTGTCTGGTAGACCCTTACCAAGATTGTTTC